AAACTTGTAGCAACTTGATAAAATGAGCATATTGTTACAACTTGTTCACAAGCTTGCTACAAGCTAACCTCGTTCCCAGGCACTTTCGCCTGCGCTCCTAGTTTGGCAACAAGATTGGTGTTTAATTTTTAGTGGCTGATTCGCTAAATGTCTAAATGCCAAATAATTAGGTCGTGGAAATTGTTCGAAAATCATTTACAAACAGCTGCGTATAATCGACTATAGGGACCTGTTTAGCCTTGCCCACAAGACTATCCAGCGTACATACAACCTCGTACACAGGTACAGAAGTCCAGGATATGAGGTTGGCGTACATACAAAACTGGAAAGGACTTTGGGAAACCCTAGGACCTGTTTAGTTAATAATGAAAGTAAGTTCGCTACTGAATTACTGCAATAGCAGTATGTACAAACTGCAGATGATACGTGCTTTCATCCTCGGTCACAGGGCCTCACGGCTGACACTACGTTGTAGTGTCAGCCGTGAGGCCCTGGAACCAAGGATGATGTGTGATAGCACCAGCGCCATTCGAAGCAAATTGTTACTTACAGTATGGGGAAGGGCTCAACCGAGAAGATCTGGAGGCATGATCCCCAGAAACGAATTGCATTTTCCAACGGTCTCTGAAGGGCCGTTTCCTGACAAAAATGTTTACTCAATTAAATTGGGAAGTTTTTGCATTTAAAAATTCCAGATTTTGTAATGCACTTTATACCTTTTCAGTTACAATCTCATCCCTATGAGTTTTGAAACAACGTTCTCTCTGTATACACTTACAAGCGCGAATGAATTGGTTTTGTCCTATTTGATTTATTTCAGATGAGATCTTTGTGCAAAACGCCTGGGGTCAGTTGTGAAAACTGGGTTAGCTTAACCCTAGATTAACCTAAAATTCAAAGCGAACTTCGTGACAGCATGTCTATAAATTTGGAAATATGTCTTCAGAGATCTTCAAGTGTGATTCGATGGGAGTTTACTTCTCTGAAATTTTGAAATAAACAGGCGTGCAGAAATACACAAATTAAAACAGCAGGTTAAATTTTAACCCAGGGTTAGAGCTAACCCACCTTTGAGCAACTGGTTCTTGGTGTTTCAGAGTGCAGATGTCACTTGCGAGCCTCATTTTCATGTTGAAGTTTATCGTATTCATAATATTTGGGGGGGATTGACAGTAAGGTGGCTCAGCACAGTCAGGGCATTTTTTAAGAATTCGTCAGTGGGGGGGGGGGCGCATCTACAGCAATGATAGATGGTTTGTTGGTAACAAAAAGTTTGGTGTGGTATCGCATTTAATAGTAGGGGGGGGGGGGGAGCAGGGCCGTAGGAAGCTCTTTTCGTTTGGGGGGGCTGAAAGCGAGGGCCGAAGGCCCGAGGAAATTTTTAAATTTAGAGTCTCTGAAATGCCATTTCCTGGACTTTGGGGAAAATTTGGCGGATTTCTGATTGTCAGAAAACAGCGTTTTTAGTATGTGGAAATTTAGAATTCAGTAGTACTAAATGGACGAAGGTGTATTTAATTAACGATATATTGGATAAGTTGCAGGAAAGTATGGGTAATATCTTCATTCTTTGCAGTTTGTCATGGATTAAATAATAAAGGTCTCCATGATTTTGAAAAATGAATGATTATTAGCAAATTATTGGGGGGCTGCAGCCCCCCAGGCCCCCCACCCGCGGTTGCCACGGCCCTGGAGAGGGTCTGGGGTTTTCTCCCCCAGAAAATATTTGTATTTTTCTACCCCTATGACTGCAATTCCCTGCATTTTCTGAAACAGATTTTTGGATATACAGCATTACATTATGCTGTAGATAGACTGAACCTTCAGTTAAGTACTTGCATAGTATGTTTATGTAGATACCACAACTTGGCCGTCACTTAGGGAGCCAGCTTGATAAACTTAGAGTTCCCGAATCCCACGAAGCGCCACCATGGTTGGCATAGAACGGAAATATTTTGAAAATTTTGCGTCTCTAAATCATCGGAAATGGCATTTTCAAAGTCTTCTATACGTCTTTTGTTTGGCCCTTTCATTAATTCGTTCATTATGATTTGTAAGTCTATGATATCCGCGAGTCAGGATGGATTATTACGAGAAATGTTATCAAAATATCGATTACAGATATTGGATTATATGTATATATGATTTCAAATACTTCTAGTTTCGAAATCGAATTGTTTTTTTTTGGTGGGGCCAAAATTACCCCCCCCCCCCTTATAAAACACTTGGTTGAGGGCTGTTGCCCCCTGCGGTCACTAACTAGTCCAACAACTCAAATCTATAGGGTCTGGGATATGCAATCCACTGCCTGGGAAATGTTTAAAATCTAATAAGGTATTTATTAAACATAAAAGACAGGACATAAGATTCACAAAGCAAATTTCAGTTACTAGAATATCAAACCTCCCTTCTAAATTCCATGTTTTGCTTATATTTTAGAGAAAAGGGACTTTGACTGAGGGGGCCAAAATGGTTGAATGGGGCGGGGGGGGCACCATGATGGCTGGGGGGGGGGGGCTTTGGCCCCCCAGTTATATAGTTAAAAAATGCCCTGAGCACAGTTTTAAAAAAAGTGGAAAATTTGCGATTTAGATCTGTATTTTTTTAAAAGCACAAAGTATCATACTGATGCCAAATAGCATCTAAATATTTTGAAAAGCAAAAGCACTTGATCATACAGGTTTTAATCTTGTCAGCAAATCACGTTCAACCAGATCCAAGCTTTGAGACCATAAAATGATCATGTTCATCACAAACATGTAACTTTGTCATGAGAATAGACAATGTTTTATCTGCGACCGTTCATCCTTAAGCCTGCTGTCCAGTCACGCGTTTTTGATACGTGTGTATACGCACGGAAAAGTTTAAGTCTTTTTAAATTTAACACTAATATGAATTACCTGTACAAATGCACATTAAATCATTCACAAAACTACATGCTTTCCTTTTATTCATTCAGTTATTTCATAAGTAACATGTAAAAAAGATTTAAAATTTTCCGTGCGTATACGCACGTATGAAAAACGCGTGACTGGAGAGCAGCCTTTAGTTGCAAGCGACGGTATTGAATGATTCCGCCTTTTACAAATCTCAGTCTGCTACTTGTAAAACATGGAATCAGTTCGCGTTTTCCCAGTCCAGTCCGGTCCAGTCCATTCCGTTTTTTACAACATGCCTAAGGGACCGGTCATAAAGTAAAAGGGGAGGGGCTGGGAAAATCAGATATTTGGTGTCTGCATTTTTGGTAGCCCACCCCTTAATAGCTGCACGAAAATTTGCAGCCCACCCCTAAATTGGTGCTGAAAAATTTATGACCCACCCCTTTCCTTATTTTTCGGACAAGAACCCCCCCCCCCGTCGTCAACAACATTTTTAAGTAAAAAAAAATTTCCGGACAAGTACATTGCAATTGCTTTCTAAGCACTCTATCTTAAATTTTCGTACCAAATTTGGGTACTTAGCCTAAAAAACAGATATCGTGTTCTTTGCATGGAAATTTTTAACACAAAAAAATGACTGGGGCCGAATCTTGTGCATATTTTTACATGGCCCACCCCTATGATTGCGCATAACTTTCGATGACCCACCCCTTCAACCGTGCTCAAAAATAGTGACCCACCCCCCTATTTTTCCCAGCCCACCCCCCCTTTTACTTTATGACCGGTCCCTAACAAAAGTCCATGCAGTTACAACCGTATCTCGCTTGTAAATCTGATTGGTCCATGAGACACAAGATTTTTTAATCTGTCATTTGATTGGTTGGTACTAATTAGATCATACTCTTGTTGTTGATATATTTTATAGTGATCACAATTATAATTAGATTGTTGTTGTCGTAGTGTGAAATTTAAATTTTTTCTGCGACATTTTGATTGGATACTAAATATAAACTTTGCTGAGGGTGGAAAGGATTAAGGTTTGTGTGAGGCTATTATTTTTAAAATAGAACCTGATCTCAGGTTACAGAGGTAGCCTTCATTCACGCTCATGATTTTCTTTGCGTTATTAATCTTTGTGTTACCATGTATTTTTAATGAGAATTACAAATGATACTGCAATTGACAAACACATGAAACGATTTAAAAATGTTTTTCTTTAATCATGAAAATTAATTATACAATTAAAATAATTCGAAATCTCTATGTTTCGTGTAATCATGAGCAAGTGATGTCGGTTGACCATTCATCTGAACCGTATTCCATATAGGCTCACGCTATAAAATTGCATACCTGTACGAATTAAATTAATCTGTTAGTTTACAATGATAAAAATCTATATTACAATATCAAAAAACCAATATACGCTGCTATTTAAAAATAAATTCATGCACAAACATTAAGATTTTAACAAGATTTTACATTTTCACGTAACTTCTAGTTTAGAATAGCGCTATCTATAAATATACATGCAGCATTAGCCTTATATCGTGAGGGTCACAAGTTTATACTAGTATTTTTGCACTATTTTGTGTTATCAAAAATATTTCAATCAATTTATCAATCATTAATACATGTATACAAAATTTCATTATTTTGAACTCCTCAACATGAACAAGTTCTGTGATTCGTTTACAAATAACAATGAAACACAATAAAACTAAAGATTAATTTTTTTAACTAACGAATCACAAACATTTACCACTTGTATTTGAGCAAGCCAATCACAGAACATGCTCACATTAATTTGTTTTGTCAAAAATCTTTTACGTTCAATTCAAACGTCGCGCTTATAATGAGCTAGACTTGTTCCAAGTCTCTCTCGAATTCAGTTTTGATACGGTCTATCCAGTCAATTATGAGATCAGTGCATGGCTTGGAAGGAACAACTGATCTTATAACACGCTATCAAAAATGAAGAGCGAGATCTGAAGCAAGTCTAATCATGAGCCGAAGCTATAACTTAATGTCGTAAACTCATAGATACACCTCCTTGGCTCGGCTCATGAAAAGTTCGACATGTAAACTAGGTCTTCGTACTTACTTATGTTTTACACTGTAATTTCATTTCTCAGTTCTTTCGCTGCAACCTTGGCAAAAATGATCCGCGTCATCAGTTTTACAGGCGACCAAAGCGTAAAGAAATCCTTTCTTTCGATGGCAAAGTGTAAAGTCCATAATTAATATAGTAAATAATACCAAGGACAATAGAAAGGCGGCGAGGATAATTTTGCCTGAAGCAATGTAAACTAGAATCTCATAATTTGCCTCTAAACAGAAACATAATAATTCCTGTTAATCATCAATTCTCTATTGCGTAAATCCTCATACCCTCCATAAGCACCATATTTAATAAGCTCCCTCCCCAATGAGCCTCTTCTCTGATAGGCCCCCCTCGTATTAAGTTCCATCTCTAATAAGCTTCTTTTTAATAAATCCACTCTATTATGCCCCCTCTCTAATACGCCATCTGCCCAATCTGACCCGCTTCTCTTAAGCTTAGTCGACCACAATCACACAACCGAAAAACGAATTTCTAATAATTAGATTTATAAATTGTCCAGGAAGTTCAGCTTATAAAAGATGATCCGTCTGAACGACCCTGGGCAAAGAAAATGTAGTTCGTCAGATAATATATCTGTGTATATAAACACAGAAAACAAGATAATCGTTCGTTAAGTTGGATTATACAGGCAAAATGGTCTGGGTTGATAACTGCCAAAATTGTCTTGACAGGTGATCGGAGCATTGTTTGACGGAAGTTAAATTAATACACGAACTATCTTTTCTTTTCCGAAAATCATCCAGATGGATCATTCATGTCTAGTAGAACCCAGACCCTTGATTTCTTACCTTGATCCCTCTGATCACTTTTGAGCTTCTGAGGATCGTTTTTACCTTGTTGTTGTGTTTTAGCTCCGTCATAAGCCTCGCATAAAATATCATTCGTAAGCAGGACATTATCTACTTTATTAAAAGTTTTGGAAGTTTCTTCATAAGACGTATTATTTTGTACCACTACGCAGCCAGGCAAGCGCTGTCGGTACGCCAGATATTTAGATTGTGGGTTAGCGTTGAAATGATCTGGATGGAGTTGATATCTTGGTTGAGTACTGTTGCAAACGTTACACACACGCATCAGATTGACTGGATTTTTCGAAAATTTCGCTTTGAAATAAGCTTCTGACACTGCAAGAAATATTCATACAGATTAAAATTAAAGTGTAATAGTCACCTTTATTATATGACAATGACGTGATTTTACCAATTTAATATTCAATGTAGCAGTTTTCGCTCCTTATATTTATGATAAGTTGACCGTTCCCAAAACAATAAAACTATAAAAGAAATTTTCTAAAAAACGACAAAACGTTAATCACAAAACATGTTCATTGCATGGACTAACCTTCATTATTAGTTATGGTTTTATACAGTTTACTATCCCTGTACTTTAAGTTCCCACATGTACAAGATGTATGATTATAAACCACATATTTATAAAACTTTTCATTTTGAGAATCCCGATCTTTGTTTGTTGTATCTGGAACCACTATCTCAATTTCTTTAATTTTCTTTGGAACCGGGTACATATACTGCCCAGATTAATTATTATTATTATTATTATTAAAAAATATTTACACAGGATAAAAAAAAATGCTTCAGTGACTATTCACTGCTATCAACGCATGTCCTGTTTACCTAAAACTACTAAAAATTATGAGTGTAAAAAGTCAATATATTAAAAATATTAAAAATCTAACTGCAGTCAATTCTGCAAAGGATTATAATGAACTAAGGTTCTCTTTCAGTTTTTGTTTAAAAAGCATAAAACTGTCAATTTCTCTAATATCTTTGGGCGATTTGTTGAATTCAATTGCTCCATTATAATAAAAGGCATGCTTTGTGGATTCCAAGGGTATTTTGGGAATCTTGACACTTATTCCGTTGTTCCTTGTGTTCTTTACATGTTGTAACCGTTCAAAATAACTGTGAAAGTTACTACACACATTCCTGTCCATGCATTGTTTCACCAGGAAACACGTTTGCAGCTTTGCAAAGCTCATCAGGTCAGGTAGTCTTAGATCTGCCGATTCACTTGATTTTATTACTCTAGAAGCTCGATCCTGGAGATTTTCAATTCGTGAAGTTTGGGTGGCATTCAAGTTTAGAGTAACAACACTGGAATATGTTAGTAGTGGAATTATCATGCATTTGTATATAGATTCAGCAGCGTCCATAGTTAGAGAAGATCGTATTTTCTTAAGCAACCTTAACCTGCCAGATGCTTTCCTAAAAGCCTGACCAAAATGTTCTTTCAGGTTTACATTCTGGTCCACCAAAACTCCAAGATATCTATATTTGGTTGTGAAATTGATCAGTTTATCGTTTAGATATACTCTTATGGGGTTATTTTGTATTCTTCGACTAGTTCCCAGTAACATAGACTCAGTTTTTCCTTTGTTGAGATTTATGATTAGATCGTTCTCATCTAACCATTTAGTAACAACTTGCATTTCACTTGTAAGTTGATTTTCAATTTCAGAAATATCTTGCCCAGCCAGGAACAGAACTGTGTCATCAGCATACTTTATGATTTGTGCAATAATGAGATGGTCGTCGATATCGTTAATGTACAATATGAATAAAAGAGGCCCCAAGATAGACCCTTGGGGTACTCCTGATGTAACTTTGCATTCGCCCACCCCAACTTTAACACAGCGATAAACTTCAATGAAATATGGAGGTCTTGATGGCAGGGTGGTAAAGTGATCATCGTATATTGAAACCACTTCTCTTTGTGGTCCTAAACAAAAGAATCGGGTATTGGTAGGTTTGAGTAAACAATATTTCTTTATTTTCTTTTAGATACAAGACTTTTACATATAATAAAAAGGCTGGTTGATCACCATCTGTTATGCACACTACTGCTGAGTGAAACCAGGTTAAACTATATAAGGCCTACTTTGGGGGCCAAGGTCGCCTAATGTCGCCTAATTTCGCCTAATGTCGCCTAATTTCGCCCACTTTCGCCCATGTGCACCCAATTTTTGAACTTTGCCTGACAGTCTATTCGCTTAATGTCGCCTAATTTCGCCTAATGTTGCATAATCTCACACAAGCATGCCCAATTTTGCACTTTGAGTTTGTCGTCCATACTAGTCTATTCCTTATTTATTTGTTAGTTTCCTGCATGTTTTTTTCTCATAAATACATGTACACAAACACCAAGGGCATGTGCTGTTAGGGCACCATCTCTCACCAGTATTAATGAGGCTTGGTTATTTGGCATTTATATGTATATGAATTACAACACATTATTCCAATGAGAATTACCTAAATTATGTTGTTAAGGCAGCCTTCTGGCTATCTTCTCCAATGTGTTTCTTTGTGAAACTCAGTCAAATTAGTCAATCACACGCCATTAAATGTTGTATATGAAATCAAACTTAGATCTTATTATCAAAGATACATTCATGATAACTGGCGAGTGCAAAAGTACAGAATACCTCTCACTAGCCTAGTGAAGTACACTAGCTATCCTAACGGTCGATATATATATATACATATATATATATATATATATATATATATATATATATATATATATATATATATATATATATATATATATATATATATATATATATATATATATATATATATATAGGAATCATCAGGTGGTGAATAATTTCGAAATTGTAGGTTGCTTTTATGCTATCGAAAGAATGTGCGGAATGCGTGTAGGCGAAACAATGCTTAGGTGAAACAATGCATGCTTTGGTCATTAGGTTTTGTTAACGATCTTGTTTACTCGAAACCGGTTTTTGTGACGACATTTGCCGAAAATTTCGCTTCTTTTATTGAGTAAATTGTCTTTGTTTATGTCTTTCAAAATGCAAAATTTTTCTTCCAAACATAAATTGCAGCGTTTTGATCCCCCTGTTTACGAAATAGCGTGTTTTAAAATTGACCATTTGATGGTATAATCCTGATTGTTTTCTTTTAATTTCCAAATATGTTTCGAAAGTTCCGTTTTGTTTGATTCTTTTTTATGACGAAAAGATGAAGTGTGGTTAGCGTAACGTTCCTTAAATGTAGTCGCTGTCATACCAATGTAGTGTTTAGTGTCGTTCGTGTTGTTCGTTGTGACTGTTGCTTTGTAAATAATGTTGTTGGTCATGCATTGTTTCGGTAGTGGGCAAGTGTTTTTGTTGTCGCAGTTACAGTTGTCAGTTTCCATATTCTGTGATTGACTGTTCCTAATTATATGTGCGTTGTGTTTGGTGATTATAGACTTAACGTTGTTCATGCAACTGTAGCTTACTTTTAAAGTGTTTCTGTTAAAAATCTTGTGTAGTTTGTGCTGTAGCGGGAAGTGTTTGTCAATTAAACTTAAGAATTCCCGTCCTATGTTCGTGTTAACACTCTTACTAAATGGTGGGTTGAACCAAATTATGTTGCGTTGCCTATTCCTACGTGTCCGAAGGAACGTTACGCTAACCACACTTCATCTTTTCGTCATAAAAAAGACTCAAATGTATGTATGTATATATATATATATATATATATATATATATATATATATATATATATATATATATATATATATATATATATATATATATATATATATATATATATATATATATATATATATATATATATATATACAGCGACTACATTTAAGGAACGTTACGCTAACCACACTTCATCTTTTCGTCATAAAAAAGACTCAAACAAAACGGAACTTTCGAAACATATTTGGAAATTAAAAGGAAACAATCAGGATTATACCATCAAATGGTCAATTTTAAAACACGCTATTTCGTACACAGGGGGATCAAAACGCTGCAATTTATGTTTGGAAGAAAAATTTTACATTTTGAAAGACATAAACAAAGACAATTTACTCAATAAAAGAAGCGAAATTTTCGGCAAATGTCGTCACAAAAACCGGTTTCGAGTAAACAAGGTCGTTAGCAAAACCTAATGACCCAAGCATGCATTGTTTCACCTAAGCATTGTTTCGCCTACACGCATTCCGCACATTCTTTCGATAGCATAAAAACAACCTACAATTTCGAAATTATTCACCACCTGATGATTCCTATACGGATGAAACAGACTGTTGTGGTTTTTTGAGGTAAAACGAAAAACTATATATATATATATATATATAATATTATATATATATATATATATATATATATATATATATATATATATATATATATATATATATATATTTATA